TTTCCCAACGAATTTCAAGTGCATGTATTTTCACCATTAAAAAAAAAAAAAGGCCCTCAAAATTAACAACAAAGATCCAAAATTTCCAGAAGATCCTGAATTTCAAATTTACTGCTGCTTTAGAAATTAAATCTGGAGTGAGCTCCGGTCTTACAGTTTTACCTTTTTTGCTGTTTAAAACACCTGCCCTGTGGTCACTAACAGCCATGGCTAAACACAAAATCAAGTAAGTTGGTGTGAACTTCTAACTTACCTAGTGGAAACTCAAAAGAATAATAATCAATAATGATATACCAGAAACTCATTTTTTTTCCAACGGACCACAACCTACTGAACATTTCTGTCAGTTTAACCTGGTCTCTCAGATACGTCTCCACTTGGCCTAACCAGTGAAGTCTAGAAACACTTGAGCCAGCTTTGATGCCGAAAGCATTCTGGCGACGGGAGCAAGGAGCAATGTCTGGGCTAAGCAAGGAGCTGGGCAAATTAACCCTTTCAAACCTAATGCTAAGCTCTTTCTAATGCTCAAAACACCTTGGCCCACTTTACAGTGTCCTGGAGCATGCAAGGAAGATAGACCCATGACTTTGGTGTTTGGGGGAGAGGCCTTGTGTCTCATCAGTGACTTTTCATTTGTCAGTTACAGGAAAGATTTTGCGCACTCGTATTTCTCCAAGTTGTTTAGCTGTATAGATCACCAGTCCTAACCTGATACACCAGGAACCAGTGGTTGGCTCACTTCTGTTTGGCTTTTCTATTGCTTTGTGTTGAGCAACTCACGTTGCCATTTGTTTGAAAACAAATATATCATGGTTGCAGCAGCTGCTACAAAAGAAGTAAAGCTAATTGCCAGATACATACTCTTTAAACATGCTTTCAAATATTACTACATTTTTTTCAAACTTCCCCTAATGATTTTTATTGCCTGCTACATTTACCACCTGGGAACTAAGTAAAATACCATCCTCCTCCTCCCTGCCAAGTAGGTAAGTCAATATTATTTATTGCAATTCTAGATCAAGATCTATGCTCTTTCAGATCAGCATGACAGGAAACACAGCTAGCTAACAAACATCAACATAATTCCGTCCACTTTTGTACCCAAAACGCTTACTTAAGGTCCACAGTGGCTACTGTCAGAGACATCAAAGATCCTTGCAGCTAACATGCTGCAAACATGTATTTTTAGATAGTACTAAGACTCCATATGAAAAAACAGCTTTCTACTGGATGCCCTGCACCTACCACCCACCAGCTATGATATACAGACTCATAGGCCATTTCTGAAACTGAGGAAGACAAAACTTTGACTACACAGAAACAGACAGAAACTGGAGAAAAAAAAAAAGAAAAAAAAAGAAAGAAAAGTAACATCAAAATAATTTGAAGGGCCAAAGTTATCATGGGACTCTGCAGTCTATGGAAATAGACTGAATTTAAAGAGCGAAACTCTCAAAGCATGTTAGGTGTTCATGTTCTTACTTCCACTTAGTTTCTTGGATGGTCATTTTATGCCATCTTTCATCACTGGAAAATATGGTCTGACATGCAAGCAATAAAACATTGACCCGAATCCCTTAAAATAAAGACCTTTTTTTCAGCATGTGAAACTTTTTTTATGGCACTGTAAAAGGCTTGAGCAAATTTTCGCCCCCTTTGCAAAGGCTCGTTATTTACCCCAAAGGGTGCCTCCTTCCTTAGGGCAGCCCCGTAGCTCGAGGGACCGCGCATCTCCACCACGGCCTCCCCAGTGCTCCTTTCACGGCTCTTTCCGTCCCTCTCGGCCCCTCAGCAGCCTAACTTTGTCCCTGCGACAGACACAGCCCCGGGTAGTGCGTTGGGCTCCGTTTCCTCTTCTCCATGGCTGAAGAGAAGTCAGCAAGGGGTTAAGGCGAGCGCGCCGCGCTGCCTCCACACCAGGATTGATTTGATCATTCTTCAGGGATTCCCTCTCGCATGAGTCATTGTTAAGACAGGCTCCCCACGCAGGAGGAGGAGGAGGAGGAGGGAGCCGCCGCCGGGATAACGCCATTCCTCCCGGGACTGCAACAGCTGAGGGCTAGCCCTGAAGACGTGGAGCCTGGGACTCGCGCTTGGAAAAACACTCCACGGAGTCAGGGCACTTAAAGAGATTATTCAGACAGGGGAAAAAAAAACAGAAAGAAAAACAAACAAACAGACGGACACAAAGTGTTTGCAAACACTGTGTGAACCAGCTGTGCAGGCTAGCAAGAATGAGACCAGCTCGCACACACTACCTCCTGGCCTGGGGATTTTGCCCGAGGAAGGACGAGAGAAATGAGCTCACATAATCTAATATTTAAATTGTATGCAAGAGATGCAGTCCTTTTCGGACTGCAATTATTCCTGTGATCTATGACTGTATAATAGTTGTAATAGCTCCTCTGGCTGCCCACTAGGAACGTGATTACCATTCAGAATTAAAAAACCAAAGGCAACAGCAGCAGCAAAAATAATGAATGTCTCCAGCTGATCACCAACATTAGTAACCAGCTTTCTAAGAGGGAGAAAATACTGCGCTGGTGTTCCCCCTCTTGACCTACTTGCATAGTCATGCAGGAGCTGCAAGGGAAAAAGTCAGCGCACGCTGGCTCTCAGAAGCAAAGCTCGCTCGGCTTTGCTTTTTGCTCGCTGTTAAATCAGATGAGCTGCTCCAAACCTGCCGCTGACACCGCGATGCAGCCCGCCTGCTTGCCTGGGAAGTGCCAAGCTGTACGAGGCACTGTCGCACCCGACGCACGCCGGGGGATGCTCAGCACGTCCAGCCTTAAAAAGCTCAACACCTGCAACGTACTTGCATGAGTCCTGTGAGTGCAACAAGCTCTCCGAGATGCTCCTGACGTTGGGAGCTACGAGTCTCACCCCTGACCTTTTAACACGGATTTGCTGAAAGCTGCCGGTTACTTTTCAGTGATACCAGCTGACTGACCCACTCGCACAGCGCGTTCCTACCTCGTCCCTGGGGGTCGGGCAAAGGATTCTCTTATGGAGAAGAGACACTCCTGCATCTCCCCCTTCCTGCCAACTCACACACCCGTGGGCAACACCTCATGGGCCTCCACATCCTGTTCATCCTCTGCATCCTCAAGAGCATACCAAGTAAAAAAATCCATTATTTCCCCAGCGTGACCAGTGCTTAGCCATGCTCAAGGGAGCTATTTACCTGGTTAAGGAGTACAGGACTGGCCCTGTTTCGCTCTCTTTTTTTTTGTAATTTCAGGCCATGAAGTAAATATTTTGTCTTTTTTTTGTATTTAATGCTAAAGGAGACAGTGTGCATACCCAGACTGTGCTGCCTGCTGCAAGTGAGTAGCTTCACTGTCACGATCCTTCAGGACAGGACACTTCAAAATTTTTCCAACTCAATAAAAGAAGAAGGAAAATAAGCATGAAAGGGAGCACCTGTTAACGTGGCTTCCTTCCTGAAATGAGGCAAATCTGGGATTTCGCTCTTGAAATGTCACACTAACCCATTTCTGTATACAGAAGGAAGTTTAACTGTGGAGTGGAATGAGCACGTTTCACTCTTCTAAGCCTACTCTCAGAGCAGAGTTCTGCTTCTTTAAGTTGAAATATCCTCTTTTTTATTACTTTTTTTTTTACTTTCTTGAGGTACAAAAAAGGCTATTCTCATTTTTCACAGCTGTGACTTTATGCGGATCCCTCTCTCCAGGGGAATAGCAGCATAGCCCTGCTGGCTCGGAGCAGGAGGAACTTGGAGCCCAGAGGTTTTACTCTCGCAGCAGAGCGAAGACACTACCTCCAATTGATGTCTGCTTTTGATTGCTTGAGCTACACCAAAGCAGGGCACCCCCGTGAAATTTCAGGGGAGCCCTTTACTCTGAGCCCGTGGAGAACCGAGACGTCCCTCCCGGAGCTCGACTCGCGTCTATTTTGATCTCTTTGCGTAAAGGGATTCCCTTGCTCGCCACAAGCGTGCCTCGCCATGCCCCCGGTGCCCGGTCCCGCTAGCCGGCAGCGGCTGGGAGCTCCCTGCCCGGCAAGGGTTAAGCACACGCGGTGCCAGGGCCGGCGCGGCGGGAGACCCGGCTTAAAGTTCAGGAGGGGGTTCGGCCGGCAGCTGAGGAATCCGCGGCTTGTGCCAGCGCCACGGAAACCCTTTCCAAAACAAGGCTCAAAACTATCGCCTTAACTATCTCATTTCAGAGGCTGACTTTGACTCACAGCTCCGCTCCCACTGTCTTTTCCGCAGCATTAAGCACTGTGGCCGTGTGATCCGCGGCTCCGGCCGCCGTCTTCTGCGGAAACCCGAGATCGCGCCTGATGCTGCAGAACGGGCGCCGTGACAGACCCAGCTGGGGACCCTTCCCTCAAAATAGCAGCCCCATCATCACCAATTGCATGAATTGCAAAGAGGAGGGGCTGCAGAAACATGGGGAGGCAACCAGCCCCGTTCCGAACCCTCACGGAGAAGCGGCCTCCGAATGAATGAGCCCTCTCTGGAGCCCCTCCTTCTAGAGCACTCGCAAACTGCCCGAGCTCTGCAAGAGACTGTGCTTGTGTGCGACTTCCGCAGCCTCTTCTGTCCTCCAAAAACTAGTCGTGAAGAAAGGTGCACGAGCACATTGTCACCAATGCTGCTGCCTCTTCCCTAGATTCCAAGCAGGTTTAACAAGCCAACATCCCACAGATTTTACATGGAAATGGTAACGAGCGGCTCTTATAATAATAATAAAAATCCTGTGAGGTGCGACTGTGGTTTTCTACCAAAACAAATGTCAACCTTTGATTCTCACTGTCACTGTTGTCTACCTGCAACCCCAGCAGCTATTATGTGAAACTCCAGCACTAACCATGGCCCAGATCCACAGCTTTGCCCAGTGATATGGAAAACAGCAGAAACGTGATTACAGCACTCATGCTATCATCATTTGGCAGACGATCTGTCTTTTTTTTTTATAAGAGATTTTCATACAGGGGGGAAAAAGCAGACATAGGTCAAGACTGCATGGAAATACCTGGTGCTTTCTCCACAAAGATGACTTTGGAGTCTTGCAGAAAGTTGTGGCCAGTCAGTACCATTTTCTTCCCTCCAATAACAGGAAAGCTGTCAATACTTTGCTTCTCCACCAGGGGCAATTCCTGGGCAGATCTCTGAGCTGGGGTGTTATAAAAAGGAAAAAAAAAAAAAAGGAAAAAGAAAAAAAAACCGATCACAAACACACACACGCAAAAGTAAATACTGCATTAGTAAGTAACTTAATGTTTACCTTCATAAGATAAGCTGAGACTGATACAGAAACAAAGAAAGGTCAGAAGGTCTGCGGGAAATACGGTTGGTTAAGTGCCTTGATAGTAAACAATACTATTATTAAATATAGCACTACAGATCAAAAAAGGATCACAGAAAGAACAAGCTATTTAATTTCAAAAGTCATCTTGATTTATACTACTTCAAAAAGTATCTTGCTTATTTAACCTCTTTAAGGCAATTTCTCAAAAAAAAAAAAAAAAAGCCTAACCTAGTCTATATGTTTTGCAAGGCAAATATGAGAACAAATAACCACGTCCAAAATATGTTCTAGTCACTCTACTGAGTGCTTCAGCTCTGCTAATAGTCTTTCAGCAGCAGCCACGGGCCTTGCAATCCAGCAGCAGTTCACGGCTTAGCCCGCGTATTTCCACCAGCACCTGAGTGCCAGGACGCGTGTGGGTCATTCAAACGGCATCCTCCATCCCCGTGGCACACGTTTTTATCACTCTCAAGTGCCATCCTAAGCTTGCATGCCTATGCTTCAAGGGATGATGTGACATTTTATCCAGATTACATGGTTCCTTCTGGTGTCACATGCACTGAGAGATGCATGAAGTTTTTGGCACCAGCTTATTCCACATTCTGCACTGGAAATAACACACTCATGCCTATTTTTTTCTTCTGTTTTCCGCTCCTTTGAGGAGCTGCCCATCACTCTTTTGCTCATTACACTGTCCTCAAAACTGCAACTCAGTGATGCATATACAAGCAGCTTCTTATTCTGTGGGACCCTGCATTTTGCATGGCTGCACGGGAGACTGGTTCGGGACGTATTTCAGCTTGTGGTCTTCCCTGGCTACATAGGACAAAGAAAATTCTCATCAGACTTTAACAGGAGCAAGATAAAACCTTGACTCCTCATGTTTTTGTTTTATGAATTAGCCTAGAACTTGCCCTGGAATGAGAATTTAGCTTGAAAAAGAAGAATAAAAAAAAAACCCAAAACATTTATTTCTTACATACAGGGGATTGAAGACACAGCTTTATGCCAGTCCAGCCGTTCCAGGTAAGGAGGCTCTGCTGTTCTTCATTAACAGCGTAGCCTTATCTTAAAGCTACTCCCTTCTCACCACAAGTGTTCTTTTGTTTGTTTAAATGAATGACTGAAGGAGGGAGGCTATAGCTACTGAACTGGCAGCACTGCCCTTCTCTACAACTTTGCCTCTCTTAGGGACTTAGCCTGCTAGTGTGGCAGCAATGCTATCTTAAATCAAAGGGTAGAGCATTGCTTCTGGCCTGAAGTCTTGGAGGACCTCTCAGGATTGCGGTGCAGGCCTGGGAATGGCAGGGGGACAAGGTTATCACCCCCATCTACCCACCACACACAGAGCTGCTCCCGACCCCTCAGCACTGAAGCAGAGCCACACACTCCCTCAAGAAGATTGTAGGGGGAAAGGATGCTGCAAACTGCACAGTGCTTTAGTGGGACAACAGGAAGAAGCCAGTGAGGACTATGCCCAAATATTTAGTGAAAAAGCAGCCGAGCTTTTGCCTGCTAGTCTGAATCCAGCAAAACCTTCAGAAACCTTTCGGTTTGCACCCAGCACACCGAGTTAGCCAGGGGAGTTAAAGCAAAATTCAATTTCCACCATTTATATGAGAAAGTTAAAGTGATGGGAAGTAAATTGCTTTTGTTTTGTGTATGTGGCGAAGTGGGGAGGCTGACTGAGCAATACGGGTGTCTTTGGAGACAGCAGTAGTGTAGCTGATAAAAAGCAGTCTCTATCAAAGAGACTCCAAGGCAGTAACACAGTTTCTGGAGGTTTTCTGAAGCCGCAGGCAGCTTGTGCTCATGTGTTGGCTTTAGTGTCCTCCTAACTCCTCATCAAAGGGGCTGGGGTTTTGGTTGTTGCTTTTTAACTTATGCTGGGGAGTGAGCGGTGAACAGGACACAAGAGGAATTTTCCAAAGCTCCTACAGCAGCCACCGAGGTGAAAGGGAAGCACCAAAATACCCTCACTTTCAGATCCACCATTAGCTTAATGCAGCTCTACTTTTAAGCGCTTTCTTCCTTACAAAATTCAATGCACAGAAAGCAAAGAATTTTTTCTTAAAAAAGGGCTTTAAAAAAAAAATGAACACATTCATGCTCTTGAGTGATAGAGCAAAGATCACGGAATAAACAGCTAAAGCAAAAGCCATGTTTAGCATGTCTACAGACAAAGATTTTTGTGTGAGGTGGCACAAGCCCAGGCTGTTGCTACTTACAGCACTCGATGGGGTTGGATGCTACTTGCAGAGACAGGGTCCTCCCGTTGGACTGCGGGATGTGCACGCGGAAGACCAGGCGCACGCGCGTATTCTTCCGCCCAATGTCCGTCTCGCCCTTCCGCAGCTCGATGTCGGAGTTCCTCAGCTTTAATATTCCGGCACAGTCAATACTGCCCAAAGAGAAACACAGAGCAATTCAGTTCATTTAAACTCTAGAAAGCCACAACTGTACAGCTTCTTCCCTCTCTCCTTTATGCTTTTTTTTCTGTAAAGTCATTGGAGTTCTTATATGGAACCCAATGGCCAGATTAAATGCTGCAGACCATTGCTTAGCCCAGGACAAATTTCTTTTGAGGCTGTCTGTATTAACACGTACTAAATGCTGCTGAGCATGCAAATTTGGACTGTCACCTTTCAGTTCAGCTCCCAAAGGAAGAAACCCAAAACATCCTCCCTCCCCAAAACCTTCTGTAAGGATGGAGCTCACAGATTTATTAAACCCCCAAGAAACACCAAGTGAAACTAGGATAGCACAGTGCACCATGTGTTCCCAATCTAGAACATAGGGATACTTATAATTTCACCTGTTTACACTAATTTGGAATAAAATCACCCATGATGTACAGCAAACTCCTTAAAATGTTTGTTAGGAAGCCTAGTTCTCACTGAGGTCAGCTCTGCTATGAATGTATTTGTCTTTGAATGGAATTAAAAGGTTCCCAAATGAGTGTTGAGCTGAAGCTCTGCTTGAAAAACCTAAACTCAGGGTCCTCCCTCCGCCTTGGGGAAAAATACGCTTTTAGTCAGGTAAAACTACTATTGCTGACCACTCTCTCCCACATTTTTTTGTTATTGTTATTTTACTTGTGGATAGACCTAACAAGTTGGAATTTTTGTCAAAGCAAATTTCAAGAGAGGAAGTTACTTTGCAGAGCAACAGATACATAAACATAGGCACTCAAAAACCCACTGCAAAAATACCTCTGCTTTGGCCATGACTACAAAGCATGCATGGCAATTTCTTCTGGTTACAGATCTCTGGCATGCATTTTACTACACTGAATATGCATAGTGTAATTTTATTTTGCACATAGATTAAATAAGCCAGCATGCATGTAGACGCATTCAAACAGCTTAATTCCTGCTCCAGACCTTTGAAGCTCAGTTCTGAAGCAAACTGCAAAGAACTATGGCAGCCTATTTTTGATCTGCGTTCTTTCTAAAGTATGGATTTTGGAGCAACAAAGGCCCCTGCTGATATGATCAAAGAAACTAATGAATGTATTAAAGCTTCTTAACAATGTATATTTGTAAAGGAAGCCATAAGAACTATGAAATAATTGTACCTATGTCAAAATTCTGTAAGAAGATTCATACAACACAGAACAGAGAGTACTACTAGCTACAGCCTCTTTTACAGCAACAGCTGCAAAATAAATAAATTAAAACACTTAACAGCAATGAATTTAGGCTCTATATTAAACTTCAGACAAGATAAAGCGTTTAAATTCAGGCTCACAAAGTCACAGACATTAAGGTCTGAAATCAACAGGAGTACTTGAATGGCTAAAGTTTAAAATGTGCAGACAAGCTTCAGAGCTTTGCTGAATCGACGCCTAAAAACACATTCTGTGAGAGAAGTCCTTGGCTCCAAATTTCAGTTCATTGTTAACACTGCATGAGGTTTCAGACTACTGACGTGGAAGGCTTACATATGCCAAGCATTGTTTGTGGTTCTTGAGAGAACTTTACTACGATCTGGCACACGCGTCATGCAAATATTCAGTTTGGCTTCTGAACTGTGTAGCTACCTTTATTATAAGGAGAAAGGTGAAAGAAACAGTAACAATGTGATGGCCAAAAATATTATTCTAACTGGATAAAGAAAGGGCCAAATAAACAATCTGTGGGTACAAACTAGTGGAATTTCAGTAGCTCCAATTGAGCTGTGGCAGCTTGCAATGATGAGGCAGCATGGCCAATGATTTTTCAGGCTTGTCATGTCATGTAACTCAATGGAAGGACAGAGGTCCTTGCACCTGCAGCGATTACCCTAGTCCTGGCTGGCCATGCAGTTAACCCTGTTCTAGCTCTTATAGTTACCTGAGGTACTCCAGGGCACATTGTACATGATGCTGCAAACCAGCTTCTAATAACTGCTGTTGCACAAAGAGACCTGGCTGTCCGATACCATTTTTTACTTTGAAAAGTACAGGAAAAATGTATATGAATGACAGGAGTGATATACTGATCTTAGTGTGGGTTTTCCCATAATCTTTGGTTTAGTGGGCCCAGAATTTCTTGCTTCCTTGCTTGCCTTCAGCCAGTCTACTTACCTATATTTCTATCTACGTGTACATATGCACAAACACATATGCCTATACAAACATGCATATGTACAGGTGCATAAATAGGCCTATATGTTTAGAGACACACACACACACTTACATGCAATATGCACAAACAAATTTACCCCAAGGCAAACAAATAAGGCTTACGACCATTACTGTTTAAACTCGTGGGATTAAATGATGTGAAGGCTCTCATATATGTTACATTCATGGAAGCAAATTTCTTACTTTCTAAACAATCCTACAGTGAAATTCATTCACAGGTAATTATCATTCATATGTAGTTATCATTCAAAATCCTATGAATTTAGAGAATTTTAAATTTTGATACTTGCTTTCCTGCATAAAACTAAACTTAGCGTACTTTAATAACAGCGGTCTATAGGTCACTTTAATTTGGCTTAAATAAATGCCATTGCAAAATGCTAGTTTTTATTATATAAAAAATCAGTGGTTTTATTTGTGTCATCAAAGGCTAGATTATTTGGAAAGGTGGCATAAGAGATTTTCTTGAAATCCAAAGAGAAATTTCAACGGGCCCTGTTCTTTGCGCTAGTGCATACAGGAGTAAGAGGTGTCATATTTAGAACCTAAATGCAGGAGCTGAGGTAGGAGATATTTACAGCGTGGTAACTGAGATACTTATTTTAAATGGCAAATAAGCACATTGGCTGAAACTCTAGAATGAAAGCAATCAGTTGTCATAAATACTTGCAAAGTTCATTTTGTTGTTAAGATGATTAGGGGCAGGTTTTTTTTTTCCTAACAAACTTGTGAAAACTTGCTCTTACAGAGAGAATGTCCAAGAGACAAAAGGCAAGAAAAGGAAAGTAGTGTATAAAAGGAAAAAGCAGCATAGAAGAAATGAGGTGGACCAGAGTAAAACCAAGAGGAACCTGCTAAGCAGTCGGACAGCGTCTGAGTCTTACATTGCTCTCATGTTGTTCTCTGGAAGAAGTGGTATTTCCAAGACTTTGGTGTTGGAAAGTATCGTTTCGTGGCTGGTGGTGGAAACGGTCTTCCCTGTGATTCGATGAACCTGGTAGAAAGCATGGGGTCGCAGCAGGCGGTCGTCTGCAGTCCCAATGAACAGCTGTAGCGTGAGCGGCTCACTTTCTAAGTAACCATGTAGCTGGCAAGAGAACAGAAAACGCCCACTGAGCACCATACACATAAACTGCTAGGAATCAATTAAATTTTTATAAGCAGGAGAGCCTAATTCAAGGGGAGAGCTTGTGACAGGTGCTATGTGTTAAGGTCCCCCCTCCCATTTTTCCTGTAACATAATATTGGTACAATAAAAAGGTGCACGCAGAAAATGCCTCATTATTCTCAATGACCTGAGGCACTGCAGGCGGGGTTCACTCTCCAACGCTGCTGCTACATGCCTACAAAACTTTTTGTTTTTTGCCTCAATTCTGCTGCAGTGTTCAGCAGACAGACAGCGAACTCGATGTCCTCTTGTGGTATGGAGGGTGGCAAAGCCAACAGACTCGCCATTGGAAGGGACCACGGTCCATCTCTGGACCTCCAGGTTTGTCCCACCAGCTGTCCCAACAGCAGCTGGGCTGCTGTTTAGGATGCTTCTTTTTAGGCTGGTAAAGAGCGCCTGGAATAGAATGGAGATAGATCATATGTACAAGGCTGGTCGTTCCCTGTGTGTGTCAAATTCTTGTATAATTGCTCTAAAATCTCATTGAAGCTGCTGGGCCTGACTTGAAACACATCCACGTTACAGTGGCCACTCCAATGTCAACAGAGCTATTTCTGCTGCATGCCTAGAGGGGAGCACAAGCAGAGCCTGATCTCACCCAGCACCGTGTCAGTCAGCCGTGCCGAAGGAGCTGCTCTGGGGTTATCCTGCTGCAAAGGAGAACATCTGCTCGGGACGCAGCCCATGCATCCGACCGAATTCAGCGCACCCCACTCTTGTGCAGTTAACAGCCCATTTTTCCAAAGAATCAGCTCCCCTAGCGTCACGCACAGCCTGTGATTGAAACGGAGGCCAAGCCAAACTCCACAAAGAATGGGAATACCATCGATTCTCACTGGCAATGGCTGGCCTCAAGCAGGGACAAATTTAGCTCGGCAACTGCCGGTTTGGCTCACCTGGGTGATTTGTCACCTCCTGCCTCGGAGGGTCTCGCAAAGGAGGCCTGGCCGCGCTCCGGGCCGGGAGGGCAGCGCTCAGCAGACCCCGGCGGGCGGCCGGCGAGGAGCACACGCAGCGGGCCCGTCCACACCAGGGGCACCCGCAGCCTCGACGTGGAGCGTGTGGAGCCAGCGCCAGCTGCGGAGCCTTTGGCAGAACCGGTGCCACCACTTCCTCAGCGTCACTGGTACCTCAGCCAGCTTGATTAAAGCTTTGCACGGACACCCACAAGCTCTGGGCTCTCCCAAGCAAGGTAGACCTGTTGTCTCCCACGGCTGCTCAGTTTCTTAACACTGTCGCCTGACACTGGCAAAGGCGCCTTACCAAAACATTCATCTCCACTTCACTCGCTGCCAGGGAAGGGAGGACACGGCGGCTACAGGCGAGCAAAGGAGCCAGGGCGAGGTGGGCTGTCGCTGCAGACGCGCCGTCGCCGAGCACGTCTCCTCGCTTTCGGGAAGGGTTTCCTATTCCGCACTAATGGTTCACATGGAACTGGCCAGCCTTTCATCAGCTCTGCACTACTGTTGCACCATCGCTAAATCTGATATACCAAAATTATACCATCAGTTGTAATTTGGTGCGTAGCAACATTTTTAATTTATGGTGCTTGCAAGCCCAAACAAATCTAAATAAAGCTGAAAGCGAGTGGCGTAATCGGTGTCAAATACCATGTTTTGCTTACTTTTTCTTTTTTTAAAACTTAAGACACCGTTCATGGCTTCATAACAACACCAACTTGCTCTCTCCAGGGTGTTTTACCATCTGGCAACTGCAACGTTATGAAGCACAATAGATCTCAAGTCATTTTAGTCCTTGAACACCAGGAAATTCTGGTGAACGCAAGCACAAAGCCTCTGTACTGCTATCAGACATGCCTATGGTAACAGCAACACAGAACCACAGCGTTTCAGGTTCAGGAGCTGACCGATACATTGGCGAGGCAGAAAACTGCACCCAAACACCTTCCCGTGACTGAGCGGGCACACTGGTGTTTTTCTCACCCCACACGGGCCACTGAGGAAACAGTGATTTGATAAAGGCAGTTTTTACCCTTCGAGCTGAAGTGCATCGATGCTGGGAGGACACTGGGAAAGGAAGGGGCTGATTTCCAAGCTACACTATTTTTCCAGACCTGCACTGTTGAGAGGGCAGCCCAGAGCAGAGGGCTGCACTCTATTTTACATCCTGGTGTTGTCAAATCAAAAAGGCATCTGCAGAAGTTTGCAAACCTGACTTTGCTATTTGCTTCTCTGTCATCCCCTGCCACCTCGCTTTTTATTTATTTTTTCCCCGCAAGGTTTGCTCAATGGGCAGTAGGACCCAAGACCGTTCACTCAGTGCCCGTAGGAGAGGCGCGTTATGAAGGTGTCTGAAAGCGCCACGTTTTTCATTAATTCCTCTGAGTCCTCCCCACCTTCCCCAGCACAGAGCTCAGCGACAGCATCAAAGCGGCAGGGCAATAGAGAGATCTAAGCTTAAGCACTCACTCTGAAAAGGGACCAGGGCTGCATCAGGCCTCCTTCAGTCCAGCTAACAGCCCTGGAGCCGCACACAGAAGGGAAAGGCTGATTCCCCCTCGAGTCGAAATGACCAGGAGTGGCAAATTCCTAACTTGCTGCCCGAGTAAGTGTGAGGAGCTGCACTCCCTAGACTCCAGTGGGAGATCTCAACAAAAGGTATCTTCTTCCTGGGGTGGTTTTGGGCAGCTTTTTGAACCCTCGCACCCCTGACACTGGCAGTCCATCTCATCCGTAGCTCCTGCTCTTGTCCCTGTTGCACCCCGGGCACTTTCAGGGCAAAATTTACAGCGCTGCGCACGAAATACTTGGCTCATCTGCAGAGCAGCAGAAAGACCTTGGTACGAGCATTCGCACTGACACGTCAAAAATAGCACTTGCCAGCTGCACTTCCTAGCGCGTGAAGAGTGAGGCCGAGCGCGTCAAGGGCAGCAGTGGCGTCCGAGCACCCAAAAAGAGGACTCCAGCACTGCCGGGGCCCTGTGGAGAGCCCCGTCCTCACGCAGCCCCACGCTGTCCCCTCGTGCACCAGAGCTGGAGCCACTGACACGGAGGACGCGGCCGTGCGCCCCGTCACAAGTGACGTACGAGCTCGCTGGTGGGGGGAAAAGCAACACAGTGGGACACCGAAACGGATTCAGTTTCGGCAGGAATTTCCTGGAAGGAAATAAAAATGTAACTACGCATTACGGACGGTCACTTCTGCAGTTTTTTATGGACGGTGCTTTTTATGGACAGTGTAAAATTAAAACAAACACATATTGAATTACAAGGCTCTTTAAAAGACAAAAATAGACCAGCGAATAACTAAAACCTCAACTCAGCAAAAGCAGAATCACATACTCAGATACCCATAAGATTTACTGAATCGGGGCACATGGGGTAAAAAAATTTCAGTCCTGATTAATGCTATTTAGAGCTTTATTTTTAAACCAGAATTTTGCTGTGCCTATATCTTGAAACCTGTCTGTGAGTCTTAGCTCATAACACTTGCTTTTCTTACAGCTTCAATACTGGCAGTCGAGTTAATTACAAATTTCACAGCTCTACATACCTCTGCCTCCGAAATTATGTGTTCAAATACTGGAAAAGACAGTAAGATTTCAGGTGCGTTTTTGTTTTGTTCTGTTTTGTTGTTGTTGTTGTTGCTGGTTTTTTTGAAAAAAAAACTTGTGATCTTTAAACTAAATACATAAGGGTGTTTTTAATAGGTCCTTGTTGGGCTTCACTAAGTCCTGGCCTCTTATTGCGTTAATTAATGGTTACCTGCTTTCCCAGCAGCTTTTTCCTGCCTTCTAGTCCTGCATGAGAACACAAGCAGTATTTAAAATATTAAGTGAACACAGGTATCCAAGAGCTGAGAAGCATGAAAATCATTCAGAAAATCTCATTTCTAGTCTAACCACTACCCAGTCGATTTTGCTGTCCTCGGCACAGGCAAAACCCTCATTCTTGATCCAGCGTAAGTTTATTCTAAATTCTGGAGGAGGAGACTTCTGATCTCAGATATGTATTTCCCTTTGAGTTTTACCCATTGCATCACATTATTTACTTTTATATTATGTCACGTAATCTCGTATGCCAACAGAAGCAATAAAAGAACACTGCAAGGATTAACGTTTAAAGGGGCACATACTACGGAGGGCTAATTTTAGATCACGCACCCAATGCTCGATTGCTGTGACGGGCAGCGTTGAGCTTGAGCGCGTTTGTGGCATGCTGCAGATGTCTGGAGAATGGGCTAGATTTTACTTACTCACACTTGGGCACGGAAAAATTGTTCTGAGCTCCCCCAAAATACAGAAGAGTGTTTTACTGTCATT